ATATCCAATAATCGTATATCACGCAAATCATATACCAGTCGTCGGATAGTGGCAGCGGCTACCGCCCAGCAGTAACACTACCGATACCTCCGTCCGCAGACCATGTACTGGATTATGGCCTCCAGTTCTATCAGATTCGCGTGTTGGGCTTCTGTGTGCGTGAAGCCCACATTTCGCTGTATGTAGTTATAGAAAAGGTGGATCGGGCCTCATGCATGGTTACTGGAACAGTAATCCACCTTTGCTTATCATTTTGTTACTTTGGGATACCATCTATCGGTCGAGCTTTGCGGAATCCCTAACTGGTTCTAAATGGACACTTTAATCCCCTCTCTCATCTCCCCTTTTCATCTCTAAGTCAACACAAAAAAGTGATCAATTTCTTCGGTCGTCGATCACTAATTTCGCGCAGTGATCACTACGCATGTTTACTTGGGATTAACTAACATTTTTTTCTCTGTCTTGGGGTTTGTATCCTCTGAAACGTTGTGGTTTGTCCGTCGGCCTAGCTCCTCCTGTCGAACAGCACTCCAACCGCCTCCATTCTGGTAGCGTAGACTTTAGACATTGGCAGAGAATCTCGGGTTCAGCAGAATTCCGGGTGGCGGTCGACCGGCCGGTCGACCGCATTCGTGCACAAGGCTTCCTGTGCGTCTGGAAGGAGATCGGTCGACCGGTGCGGTCGACCGACGGTTCTCTGGAGTTTGGGTTTTCTACTGAGAGCTGGTCGGTCGACCGGGCCGGTCGACCGGAATTGATCGCGGTCGACCGGACCGGTCGACCGACGAAGCGGATATCAGTTTTTCCAGTTTTTTGACCCGTTTCGTTTTGGATTTGTATAAATACCATTTGGGTGTTTTTTAGGGTTAAGAGCAAGGACGAATTTGAGCAGATTGAGAGAGTTTTCTTTGGGCTTCTATTCTAGGAGCAATTGGAGAGATTGAGAGTTGATTGTTGAGGGTTTATGAGAGATTTGTAACCTTAGTTTGTTCCTCTTGATTTCTAATAGTGAAAACTCCCACCTCCTTGCCCCGTGGACGTAGGCATCTTGCCGAACCACGTAAAATCTGGTGTTTGATTGTTTGTGCTGTTGATTTTGGTTAATTGTTTATCTTTCTCGGCGATTGTTTTGGTTTCTCGAGGCACAACAATTGGTATCAGAGCTCCGGGCTACGCTTGGGCTATTTTGGAGGAGTAGATCGCTTTGGAAGTTCACTAGGGCTTCGTTTGGTGATAAATGTGGGATCTTTTTCAGTAAAAATCTCGTCTTTTTCAGTTTGGATCTATTTCTCGTTTGTTTCCGCATTGGTTTGGTGGTGCTTTGAGATATATGGCTGAAAAAGATAAAAGTGGGGAGGGTTCTTCTGGTGTGAAGGCCGTCCAAAGTTTGAATATACATTCTATGAAAATAGATGTGGAAAAGTTCAACGGCACAAATAATTTTGGACTTTGGCGATGCGAAGTCATGGATGCGCTAAATGCGCAAAATTTGGAAGATACATTGGAGTTGGACGGGAAACCGGCCGACATTGATGAAAAGGTTTGGAATAAAATGAATAGAACGGCGTGTGGTGTGATTAGGTCTTGCCTTACCCAAGACCTTAAATATGATGTGATGAATGAAACTTCGGCAAAGAAGATTTGGGAGGTCCTAGAGGGCAAATATTTGACGAAGAGCATCGAAAATCGTTTGCATTTGAAGAGGAGGCTTTATCGCTTCCAATTGAAGAAGGGGACATCCATTAGTGATCACATGAACCACTACACGAAGCTACTTGCAGATTTGGCGAATGTAGATGTCAAGGTTGAAGACGAGGACAATGCATTGTTGTTATTGAGTTCCTTGCCTGACGAGGAATATGAGACCTTCGTCCTCACTCTTATTAATGGAAAGGCATCACTTTCGTATAGTGAGGTCACCGCAGCCCTTGTGAATTATCAACTTCGAAAGAAGGACAAGGAGACTTCCATCGAGCCGGTTGCTGGTGCATTGGTTGCAAGAGCTAGAAGTCCAAACCGTGGAAGAAGGTCGCAGTCTAGAGTGGGGCATCCTGCAGTTGGTAGGAATCAGTGTGCCTTTTGTAGAGAGGATGGACATTGGAAAGCCGAATGCCCAAAATTGCAAGCTGTGAAGAATAAAGGGAAAGCTATTCAAGCTTCAGAGGTGAATATTGCCAAGGCTAGTGGCGATGTTTCTGATTCAGATTCTTCGGGCTATTCGTGCCCAGCTCTTCCGTCAGTTGATGTTGCCGACTCCACCGAGTGGATGTTGGATTCTGGTGCTACTTACCACATATGCCCTAGAAGGGATTGGTTCTCCAGCTTTCAGGAGTTGGAAAGAGGGGATGTTGTTCTCATGGGTAATGATCACAGATGCCCTATTAGTGGTATTGGTACCGTTCGGATTCGGATGAGTAACGGGATGATCCGGGAGTTGGCTGATGTGAGGTTCGTTCCTCAACTGAGGAAGAACATCATTTCACTTGGGGTATTGGAGGCATCGGGCTATAGGGTGACCTTGGCGGATTCTCGCTTGGAGGTCACATCGGGGTCCATAATTGTGATGAAGGGAGTCAGGCGGAGTAACTTGTATTATCTGCTTGGGAGCACGGTAGTTGATAGGGCTCTGACTACTTCTATGGCTAGACTGTGGCATTGTTTGGTGCTGGGATATATTGTTGGTTATACCGTGCACAGATTGTTGAGGAGTGCTATGACCTGCAGATTGAAGTCCTGTGAGCACATTGGTATGAGCGAGAAGACCGAGGTGGAGTTCAGCACTTCTATCCATCGATCGAGAGGTCTTATTGGAAGTGTTCAGTCAGGCATTGGGGGGCTTTCCGAGGAGGCATCATCGGGAGGTAATCGTTATTTTGTTTCCTATGTTGAGGATTGTACTAGGCATTTTTGGGTTGCAACCAAATCCCGTTGGTATAAAGCCCTAGTAGTCCGTAACAGTTTGAGGAGGTGTATGGGCAGAAAGGTTACCAGTCGTACTTATTCTAGTAGGAATCCTTTCTTGCATTGGTGCCGAGCTCATGGCAGTTGGAGACACTTCAAAGGAGAGGAAACAGTGGGGCGACATGATGAGATGACGGATTCAGTGAGCCGTTCTTTTCTGGAGGAGGATCGGTATTGGTTGTCGAGCAGTGGATCTGGTATTCGGGCTTCGACACGATTGGGCCATCTTATGAGGTTGCCGACTGCTGCGTATAGAGTTGTTAGATCTGGTGGAGCTGCTTCAGATTTTGGTTGGCGTCAGATATTTGGCTACCCAGCACTTGGTCACATCGCTGATGTGAGATTGGATCTGATTGTGCATTCGGGATTCAGGAGTTCATTCGGTTATCAGTTGGGAGCTTCTGAGTTTGGTCTGGGCAGGTTTGTCACTTTGGACTCTCGGCAGGTGGAGAGTATTGATCAGGTCAGAGGGATATCGCAGCAGGTGGAGGTTGATGCTACTCCACATTGGGTGGGGATTTTCCCACATACTCCAGATCATTCTGCATTGGTTGGGATTCCAGCTGAGGTGACACAGCGTGGGAGTTATTTATTTATGGGTGCAGATGATGAGGTGGTTGATTTGGATGCAGCTGGTGGATATGTTTTGGATACGGCCATTGTTACATCTCAGGTGGAGGTGTTTGGATCGCTTCAGTTTGGGGTCGTTGATGATGCTATCAGGCGCAAGTTGGATTGAGGGCCCTTTGGAGGCCCATTGGGTGAACTACGTGAAGGCTTGATTCCTTGGGCAAGAGGATACGTAGGCAGTCTTTATGATGCAGCCGATTTGGTGAGCGACATCGACATTTGGGGTGAGTGTTCGCACTCCCATTTGGGTCTCAGCAAGTGAGGCATTTGGTGTAGTCGGTGTAGGCTCAGTTGTTTGGTGAGTAGACACAGTTGGTTTGGGGTTGAGTGTTCGCACTCCCGTTTGGATCTCGACGTGTTGTGATTGGAGTCCGTTGTCATGAGTCCGTTGCCATGGCGTACTGGATGCAACAGTTGAGGTATTGGTTTGATAGGTGTCGGCTCAGTTTGGTAGAATCTTCGCCGAGGTGGAGAGATTGTTGAGGGTTTATGAGAGATTTGTAACCCTAGTTTGTTCCTCTTGATTTCTAATAGTGAAAACTCCCACCTCCTTGCCCCGTGGACGTAGGCATCTTGCCGAACCACGTAAAATCTGGTGTTTGATTGTTTGTGCTGTTGATTTTGGTTAATTGTTTATCTTTCTCGGCGATTGTTTTGGTTTCTCGAGGCACAACAAGAATGAGGTGGAATGAAATGGTCATTCTCACTTCTCATTCCCCGATACTAAACGTACCTATTTTTTAGAAATTGGAATGACCATTTTCACTTTTTGTGTGAATGAACATTCCAAGTGAATTGATAAAGAATTTTGTGGGAATGAACATTCCAAGTGAATTGATAAAGAATGATCATTCTCATTCGAGTGAGAATCAAATTAGTTACATAATTTTTAATTATACCCCTATTGATAATAAAAATAAATCTTTAATATAACATATGCATAACATACACCTGAGAGATAACATGTGCATTAGTATAAAACATAGCTAGATTAATATAACCTATGCAAAAATAAACATTAACGATAAAATTGTTTAGTTATTATCGTTAATGTTTATTTTTATCTTATTAAAAATCTATGTTGTTGTAATGATATTTTTAGGAAATAAGATTTCATTCTCACTTGTGAACTAGTGATACCAAACATGAGAATAGGAGTGGGATTTTCATTCTAGCTTCATTCTACAAACACATCCAAACAAGAGAATAGGAATGACAATTCTATTCCCACGTACATTCCATTCTATTCTTTCTTCTATTCCATTCTCATTTGATCTCGCCGACCAAACGAGGCGTAAATTTCCAACACGGAAAATATTCGGGGCAGGAACAGATGCAAACCCGATTACTAAACAGTCATACCCATATGAAACCCGACCCGAAACCCATCCTATTTCTTCATTCCCTTTTCTTAAACCCCCAAGACTCAAAAACCCCTAAACCCTTCAAAAAAAACCTAAAATCGCCATGGTATTCTCCTCCTCCCTCCGCCGCGTCGCCTCGTCGGCCGCTCCTCTATTCGCCCGCTCCCTCGGCCGTACTCTCCTCCGTCAAACCTCCGACGGCCGCTTGTTGCAGAGAGCAATCGGATCAAGAACCGATCTTGGGTTCTCTTTTCCTCAAAGGTCGCAGTTTTCTTCGCTTGCTTTGAAGGCTGCTTCTGATTCTGAGCTTGTTAAAGTCGTCGAATCTGAGATTCAGTGTGCTGAGGAGTGTGATGATCACGATCGGGTATTGCTCTCAATTTTCTAAAATTTTCTACATTTCCCCCCTCAATTTGTAGACAATTTGTTAGTTTCTGTTGGTGATCTCGATTCAGCGAATAAACCTCAAGTTAAATCTCTGCAACTACAACAAATAAAAGAGGAAATGCTATAGAGAACATTTGCAACTTAAGCAATACCAGTAATTTTGCAGAAATTAGGATTTGTACCAAAAGAACGCTAATTTGGCCATTTCATCATTTTTTAAAAATAGTAGGAATTTTTTAGGAAATTTCCCCCAATTTACCTTAATCTCTAGAAAATTATTTCTTTTTCCTTGAATATTTCAGTGTTTGGTGATATTCAGCGGATACAAACCAAGTTTTAATCTTGCAACCACAAAAGAGGGAGATGTAATAGAGAACCTTTGTTATATACCAAACCAACTAGCTTACTGTAATATGAATTGTATAGAAGGACGCAAAATTTGTGGTTTTCTATCTTGTTCTTTGTGTAGTTATTGGAGGTAACAAACATAGATTTCCAAGAAGAAAATGCTTTCCTTTTAGAACTTTAAATATCACTAGCTCACATTCAGTATGGATTAGAGAGAAATTGCCATGTTTTTCTCGGCCTGTGATCAAGTTTATTTACTACAGACTCTATCAGATAAATGATTTGTGGAAAATTAACTCTTTCTGTAATTTTTAGTGCATCATTTTCAAAAGATTATACTGGCTTTAGTTTATTGTATTAGAGACCTAGGAAGAATACAATCTAAAAGCTAGTTGTTACTTGTTAGACGGATGAAACCAACTCTTCATAGATACATATCAGAATTCACATAGCAAAATTGGCAAGTGGACTTTAATGTATCATCATACTTCTGCAAAACGACATCTACACTTGTTGAATTTGCACCCCACAATTATAGTTAGAAATTATGGTGTTTGACTCTATACCTTTCTCGGGTCTAAATTCACTTGTATGAGGCAGTTGCATGGAAGAAACCCAATTTCCATATAAGCACTCTATGTAGTCAATTTAGAACTAATGAGCAGATAAATTTGGATTCAACCTACTCTCAAGTTGCTTAGATGAAATAATAGTCAACCCCTTCAATCAGTGAGATAGAAACTGATGTATTGTAACATTATTAATTAGGAATCATATCAAATGGGCAACTCAACCATTTTCTGTTTGAATAGGTAGAAGAAATACCAGAAGGATTCCCATTCGAGATCCAAGATGAGAAGGGAACGAACATAATCACTTTGAAGAGGAAATTCAAAGATGAGAACATTGAGGTTACAGTTTCCATGTCAAGCCTCGTCACTGGAGAAGAACCTGATGGGGACGTTGCTAACAATAACAAGAATGATGATGATGAAGGTGAAGCTGGTGAGAGCTCCAGCCAATCTAGCCTCCCACTGACTGTGAATATTAGCAGAGGACATGGGCCGAGCCTGGAATTCATCTGCACTGCTTATCCTGATGAGATTACAATAGATGCCATGTCAGTTAGAGAAAATGCATCAGAAAAAGAGCAAGAAATGCTTGCTTATGAAGGTCCAGATTTCAAGTAAGCATCAAAGTCAATTTCCTACTAGCATAATATTAGATAAGTTCTACTAAACTATATATCATGAATTTTGGAGGGTTCTGCACAAAGATACTGCTATTAGTTTTTTTATTAGAGAAAATTATCATGAACATTCATAGTTGCGGAAAATACGATGAACTATTGAAATTTGTTGCTAATGTTGTTATGTCTTGGATAAAATGCCTAAACTACTCTTATTTATAGCTATCAATCCACAAAATTTGGGGTTCTAGAAGATATAAAAAGTACATGAGAGCAAGATTGCATGCCATGTGTGAATTACATGATATCCTAATTGTCTTCACTCTTCAGTTATGATAGTTTAGCAAAAATCTCTAATAAAAAAGTTTAATGCTAGTTTTATGCAAAACACTCCAAAGTTCATGATATTCTTAAGAAATTTACCCTATATCTTTGTGTAGCATTTATGTGTAATGGTTTGGTAAATAAACAAATTTCGCTGTTTTTGGTAGTGATTTGGATGAGAACCTCCAGAAGGCTTTCCACAAGTATTTGGAGCTGAGAGGCATCACGCCCATAACAACCAACTTCTTGCATGAGTACATGATCAACAAAGACAGTCGTGAGTATTTGCACTGGCTGAACAATTTGAAGGAGTTTGTTGAGAAATGATTTATGTCAACTGTTCAGAGGTTTTTTAAGTTTACTAGTTTATTTTTCTTGACGATGTGAGGTTATTTTCGTTGGTTGTGTATTCAAGCGCATTGGCAATGCAATTCTAGATTATGAAAGTAGTATCCAAAATTCTAACAATGTAAGCAGTAATCAAATACGAATGATGTACCCGTGGGTACCTGCTATACTTTAATGAGCGTTGGGGTCATCTGAATATTTTGCTTGATGCTGCAATGTACATTCTCTTCCGTCATATACTTTGCGGCTCTAAACAGCTTCGTTGTGCAGGTCTTTGTGTGTTGCTGTTGTCCTCGTTCAACTATTTTATTTCATTTGATTTTGCTTTATTGTTATTTTTATAAGCATTTCCCTTCAACTCATCGTCAACTAGATTGTGTTTCTGACTCATAAAGAGTGCATGTTGAAAACGTTGAGTTACTATATAGGTAATCGACAGAACTTGTGATACAGCCACATGCCAAACGGTTCTGAAAAGGAGTCTAGTTGTAATTCAAATTGCAATTTATAGATGGAATTTTCGAAAGACCGCAGTTACGTGTACTTATCTAGGAAGCAGATATTTAGCTAATTAAGATCATAATTGTATACGCTACTCTAGAGAGAGGAGGAGGGAGAGCTAGAGAAGGAATATGAGCGTGCAAGGAAAAATCTGAGGGTGTTTTTTGACGTTAGAGAGAAATCTGAGGGTGTTTTTTTGATGTTCTTTTAAATGTGTTCAATGGAACTTGTTAACACACAATGACGCGTTAAACTTTTGGAAAATGACAGGTTTTAAAATCTCATGTGAGACCCGGTGCACTGTAGCAAATGAGAGAGGGTGTGGTTGAGGTTGTGGTTAGGGGTGTACCCCTAGTGTCACCCAAAACTTTTTGTCCTAATAGGTTGCTGTAGCAATCCCCTGTATCATGGACCTCCGCAAATAAATAAATAAATAAGTAAAACTAAAAAAAAAAAATTCTCCAGTTTCGTTCTACCAGTCTCAAATGCTCTTAGGCTCAAGTTCGCTTCCTTAGCGATTAAATAAGGAAGCGATTAAATAAGCGAATTTTCTAAAAAAATTATCGGAAAAGAATAGATGTAATTAGAGGCAAATGAAACTAGAGGAGAAAAGGAATATGAATTTACCTTTCAATTGAAAGGAAAAAATATTCAACCAAAGAGTTTACCTTTAAAGTTGGTTTAACTTCAAAGAATTTGTGCCTAATTTAAACGTTAAAAAAAATATCATAGCACTTTCCAACGTACATAATCGCTGTTACAGCCCAATATAAAGTACTGTTTAATGTTTATCAAGAAGAAAAGCATCCAATCTCAACGTTGCTATCTCTCACAAAATTGGCACAACACTACGTAATATTTGTGTAAGCTGAAATCTCAAGAGGAAACCGTCAAAATATATATATATATGCTACAGATTAGGGATGACACAAAGCTTCCTCATACATGATGATAAAAAGGTAGCCTCAGACAAGTCATCAACATTACTTCATACAAAGAAAAAAACTTTGACGAAAATTGCTAGAGCAAATTGCAATACCAAGGCACTAGCAACTAACACCATGAGGTCATGGCTCTCCTCAGTGTAAACCTTCAAGTTCTCGTAGATGAACCATGACGATGCTGTACCGGCAAGAATTATGATGATCCAGCGGATGAACTCGACAGGAATGACCAACAGCAACTGAAATGCGATTCAAAGGAATAAACAATCAGCTTAGAGAAGGGGGTTTTGTTTTCTACATGTGCAATTTAACTCACAATTGTGATTATTTATAGGACAAAAACAACACAAGTCAAAAGGCAAGAGGGGAAAATTAGAAAGTATTCCAATCAAGCCCAAAAAGAATTGTTTGTAAACATGTAGTATGTTAACTGCCCCCCAGATTCTCTGTCAGTCTGATAATAATGAAGGGAACTTTGTTTTCAACATGTTCAACTAAACTCACAATTGTAAATATTTAATGAACAACAACGGCACAAGTCCAAAGGTAAGAGGGAAAAATTAGAAAGCATTCCAATCGAGACCAAAACAAATTATTTGTACGCATGTAGTATATTAAACTGCCCCCCCCCCCCCCCCCCACACACACACACACACACACCCAAGATCAAATACGAAGAAGCTTTCAGGTATACAGATTTTACAGCATAAATTTGGAAACTTATATGAACATGTAAGAAGCCTCAGTGCTAATTACATATGCTACCCCATCAAAGTTTTTGAGCGCATCAGATATATAGCAGATTTACACCAGTATAACCATCAGTCTGAATTTACAAGTTCAAGCACTTTCACCATACACATTTAGAATATTCAAAGTTTAGCGCAGGTGTGTGCTACAGTCACACAACGCATTAACCCAACTATATACAGCATTTCAACCCAATTATATAAACAACCTCTTCAAAATCTAAAGCTACTAAGAGATGATTGATTAAAAAAGCAACAGAAGCCATTAACCAGGAGTCATGGCTTCACATGTCTCTCCAAATATGACGAGGTTAAAAAGGAAAAAGAAAAACCATATGTTCTAGATTAAAAGTATGCAAGTGGAACCTGAATAAAGTGGATGCAACTTCCTTGAGCTTTTTCAGGTTAGTACTAGAAGATTACTGAGGTCGGATATATGGATATGGATACACTAGGCTTAAATATCCCCTTCCAATCCTTGGTTTAAAATTTAAGCAAACAAAGCCGAAGGTTTCAAATCCACCTGCTTAAATGAATAACACTTCTCTTGTATGGACTCTTCAAGAAAGGCTTTATACATTTCAACCAGACCCCAGAAGATTTTCCATGCCTCCATGCAAATCCTAGGTGTGAGTTTAGCAATAAAAAAGACTTCCACATAACTTCATGGTATTTGTGGAGGAACATTATAATACTTATGCACTTACACATCTGAAGGTATTAACTTGAACATTGATAACGAAGAAACAAAGAATAGATTATCAGTACTACTCTGTTCAACGTACCACTATAAGCTGTTAACATTCTTTTTAGATGTAGATGGTAAGCCAATGACCATCAGAAATGGATACTTACAGAACTTGGGATAAAGACGAACAGAGAATATCCCCACATGCACCATAAACGTATTAGACTTGCATTGGTTCCCAAATACTGAAGCAAGAAGTAAAATGCAGCTGGTACAAGAAGTGCATAGCCATAAACAATGCTTGCTGCCCATTTCACATATGTGACATCAAAGCTCCATATTACATCTTGTTCATATCTCTGGTGTATCAGATAAGTAGCACAATTTCCAAGGGCAGCAAATATAAATACCAATGTTGTAGTGATCCAAACAGGGCCATACCTACAAAAATCAAAGTTTTGACATAAAAAATCTCACAAGATAATAAATGATCTTCAGTTATAGTGACCCCAGATGATAACAGAGATGGTCATCCAATGAAACAAGACCCCACAAGAGAGTCAAAAAGATGAAATCAAGAAAAAGAAGAAAAAATTTGTTAGCAGTGTATAGCACAGGAGTAAAAAGTAGGTAAAGTGGGTTTACATATGTGGGCTAGTGATATTTTCAAACATTAAGAAATAATAGTCATCAGAGAAGGGAATCTCATGTCTGCTTTATTTTAAATTTTTTTGGGTTTTAGTTTCAGATTTTCAGTACATAATAAGTCCAGGAAGGAATATGACCAGGTAATTAAATACAACGTTAGACTCATTTTAATAACTACATGTGGACTGCCTACGTTTTTAAGGTGAATACTACTCATGGAGTTCAACATTAATTCCATGATTAAGTCCATATTGCATGCCTTCCCAACTAAAGCTATCTCACCGTTGAATATTCATACGCTTGTATCCAAAATTTTGTCATATCTAAAACTACACTTCAAATCCGTCATATTTGCCATTTTAAGTTTAAATTTATAAGCAGATCCATGTAAGATAAAGAGGGGGAAGAAGGATTGAAAGAGAATGACTCACATATCAGGATTTGTGTCAATCTTTCTATAGAAATCATTTGTTGGATACACAGAACTAATGAGCCTATCAACAACAATATCACTATCAACATTGAAATATGGCTGGTAGGATGAAATGCTAAAGAACCCCTTCCAATTGCTTGTTGTTTGTTCACCTCCATCTGCATTTGTAGAAGCAATGAATATCATGCATAAGCAAGCAAGAACAAAGAAATTGAAACATATATATCAGTCATAACTAATGGGCTGGATATAACATAATAAAACAAAAGGTTATAAAGCTATGCTTTTAGTTAACAGGCATTGTTTTTTTCAGAATACAATTATATGTGAATAACAAGTGAAAGTACATGGTTAAAACATAAACCTAAGTCTAGAGTAAAGGATACAGTAACCAATTCAATTAGACAACTTCAAATATGCACTGTGAATCACCTAAGGGGGCAAAAAAGAAGTGTATAAGTATTTTGCGGCCGAACAAGGCACATTTACGAGAAATCAAAACAAAAAAGAAAGAACATGAAGGAAAAGATGCCTCCTCGAGATATTATAATCATTAGACGTTGGTTTGAGAAATTATTGCCATATCTAAAACTACACTTCAAATCGAAGAAAACTCCGCAAACATGAATTATCAATAAAACAATTAAGAAATTATTACCGTACGGGGTCCCAGGGGATTGATAACCTCCGTTGTTGGGCGGAAAGATTTGCAATTTTGCATTTGGAGCGGCACCTCCTAGACAACCAACACAGCAAACTTCACGGATCTAAATTTAAAAAATTAAAAATATAAAAAAAAAACATAATAAGGAAACGGGAATCGCAGCCCTACTTTCACTTGTAGTCGGCTTTTTCTCTTCAGTAATCACAGCCTGCAAACAAAATCTCAAATCAATTCACTCAAACAACCAAGTAATCGAGAAATTATAAGAAAAAAAAAATAAAAAAAGGGATTGAGAGCGCGCGCGCGAGAGAGAGAGAGAGAGAGAGTACGGGAACTGAGCCGAGCAAATGGCTCGAAGGGAGACTGGTATAACCCTCCTCCATTGTAGAAGGCGATCGAAGCTCTTAGATCGCCATCTCTGATACAAAATCTTGGGGGTTTTTTTTCCTTTTCTTTTAATCAGGTTACTGGAGCTAAAAATACCCTAGAAATTGGAATTCTCTCGGAGAACGGGAGAGAACAGCGAGGGATCCGAAGTATGGCCGATGTCGTGTCGAAAACTTTTTGGCGTGCGGCGAGGGGAAATTTTTGAAATACACCTATTCAAAAAATAATTATCAAGTTGGACCTGTTTGCAAGATATTTATTAAGATTGGCCTAGTTTCGGCGACGTCTCGGGCAAAAGTGCAAAACAAGTTTGATTTTTGAATGAAATTTTTCTGAACCCTATGGCCCCGTTTGGCAAAGGGTTAATGAAGAGGGGGTTAAAGAGAAGGATTAATGTTCTTAGACCATTTGATAATCCGAATGACTAAATTATTAACCCGTTAAATAAGTTTTATTTTAGCTCTTATGATCAGTTTTAGTGTTTTGGGAATAACAATGATTTTGACTATTTTCTTTATAATTAGAAGGGTTAACTCTTATTCCATCTAAATAGGAGTATTAGTAAACCCCTCATTTTGAGGGGTTAACTCATTTTAACCCCTCTAGAGGGGTTAACTTAACTCTTCTATATTTTTTATGTTTGAAAAATTATGGAGGGTTAACTCACTTTAGCCCTAATATAGATTTGTTGTGTTTGGCAGGTTAAGCAGGGGTTAAGTCTCTTTAACCCCTCACTTAACCCTTTGCCAAACGATACCTATGGGATTAGCAACCCCCTAGAGCTAATTTGTGTATTATGCTCTAGTGAATTCTCAGACTCGTACGGGTGCGTGATCTTTTTTCCTTTCAAAGTCGACCTAGTTCATAAAATATTTATTGAAATCAACCTAGTTTCAGCCAACCGTGACAAGAAACTATATCTATTTTGATAAATATTTTAAAAATAAGTTAAATTTGATGATTATTTTTTTAAAGGGTTTAGTTTAAAATTTTGTCCTGATGAATGTAACTGCTGATAACTCGCAGACGAAGACATTGCGCTCCGGAGCCCACCGTAACAGGCCGGGAAATGAAACATGGACTGTAAATTGCTGGCTCCTGGGCTAGAAGGCCCACAAGTGACGTTTACTTGCCTCACTTGCATTCAGTGGCGTAGCTAGCCTTGGCTTGCCCTGGGCAGCTGCCCAGGGAAAGAATTTAGCAGGTAAGTCATTGAACAATTAAAATATCGCGTTTTGGTATTTGGCCCATTTTTGCAAATATTTTTTGCCACATCTTTAGTGTTAAAAATCCTTGGGGGTGTACATGCAACAATGGACTAGGATTACTAAAATTTCTCCGCTTTGATTCGGCTCATGTTGACTCTTCCTATTTCGACTGCAAGCACGGAAAAAATATTTTCGGCAATGAAACTCATAAAAACATCATTGTGCAACAAGATGGGGAGATGAATTGTTTGCTAATAACATGATACTTTATATTGAAAAAGAAATTACTTCTAGCCTTTACACAAAATAAATGGTAGAGGAGTTTGATTCACAACATACTCGTAGATCACTTTTATTTTTCGCCCAGGGCAAAAAATAATTCTGGTTACGCCACTGCTTGCATTTGTTATTAAAAGAGAGATTATTGCTTATAAATATTCATAAAATTTTACAAATACATAGGCGTGCATGTCATTTTGACCTTTGTATACAGCTTCGTGCAAGAGTAATATGTTTTTTTATATGAGACCATATGTGTAAATGAGGTTGTTTTCTTTATTACTTTACCCGGCCTACAATTCTTCATCTGGTAAATGTGTATGAAAGGAGCTCATTATATAACGTATGAATTTATGATGCTATGTATTCTATATTGCTCTCATAGTTTATTTTGAACTTATTTCCTCGTATCATTGAAATTGCTATTAGATATTATAATCATTAGATGTTGGTTTGAGAATTAGCCCCTCAGATCTAAATACATTATTTGATTCCTTAATTTTCTTAAGTTGTTTCAAATAAAACCTTTAAAGGCAATAATAGAGATATAAAGATATGAGAGGTGGCGAATGTAATAATGATTTCAATGTTGCGTAGGGCCTTTTCAAAACTCTAAAGATTTAAGGGAAAAATATTGAGAAAAACCCTTGAAAATACGAGAAAGTGGACTAAGATCGAACTCATTAACATACCAACATATTCGAACGGACTAAATTACTAGATTGGTATTTTTAGTATAACCATCCTCCGAAATTCACTAGAACCCTCAAACTCCTCTGGTTCACCGAGGGCTGTTTGGTTTGTTCGTTGCATCTTGATGCGGGAAAATGGGTTTTAGAAAAAAGAAAGCCGTTCTTAAAATATGTATTTGCTTGTGATGATTATTAAATAGAAGTTGTATGAGAGATAAATGCAACTGAATTTTGTTTGGATGCATATGAACTTTGTTAGGGATGTGCTAAAATCACAAATCCGATTAAAATCAATTCTAGAAAATCACATTTTATGTAATTATCTTACGGGACAAACCCATGTTTATAAATTTTAAAATGACAAGTAAATATTTTTTTTGATAAAAACCTAAAATTTTAAACTACTAGCTCCCTAGCTCCGGTCTTTCAACGCAAAGCTCAAGCAATACGGGGTTGTTTGATTGTTTTCCTCAAAATAAAAAAAAACGAAGAAGGTTGGGAAACCATTAAATAAGTTTTTCTCTAATTTTCTTAAACAAAAATCATGAAATGGGTATCGTAAATAAATGTAGGTCACATTAACCAATAAGAAATTGACACATTAACACTTTCTTGGTTTCAAGGTGTAAATCACAAGAAAATAAAAAATGACGAAAAACTTACAAAAAGATGTATTTTTACATCCACTAGTTTTTATGCACGTGCAGTGCACGTGGTTAAATATCAAAATATTTTTCTTTTATATTTTTTTCTTACCATAAATTAGTCAGATTCATCTTGAGTTTAAATATGTAAAATTGAATTATTAGATTTACTATTTTCTTACCATAAATTAGTCAGATTCATCTTGAGTTTAAATATGTAAAATTGAATTATTAGATTTACTATTTTTTTATTTAAATATTATTAAAAATATCTTGAGTTTAAATATGTAAAATTGAATTATTAGATTTACTATTTTTTTATTTAAATATTATTAAAAATCAATGTAATAGTCATTATAAACTATAGTTATAGCAATAAAAAAATCATATTTCTTATTTCATTAAAAATAGAATTGCACAATATTTTTGGATATTATAAACTTAACTGGGACATTTTAATTGATTTCTTAAGAAAAAATATCAATTGACATAATAATATCTTCAAGTAGAATAGCAAATAAAAATAAGTTAAATTAATAATTATGTCATATTCCAAATTTTACTAATCCCAAAATATAATATGGCGTCAAGCATGAATAGCAATATCATTATGAACTAAAGTTCTGTTGATGTATTTTTAGAATCATAACTTGCAAATCAGCCATTGCAAATTATATGCATCAAGTTGGTAGGGTAAGTGCAAACGCTTGAGCTCTTTTGAAATTTGAGTATTAAGTTAATGATACCTTTAAGCAAATGATAATTAAATATAGATCATTGATAATCTACTTCATTTGTATGTGTTTTCTTGCTTTGTGATAAAGCTTTATATTTTGTTACATGCATGATGTTGTAGGCCCCTAATTACATATGTTTCATTGGTCATATATGTGATTTTTCTATAAAATATCTAGCATATGTTATCTTTAAAGGCTATCTGTTCAAACCAAGGTTTATGTTAAAAAGTATCTATTATTAATTAATAGTGTTATTTTATTCACTATGGAAGCTTTTTGATTCCAATGATTTAATATTTTAACAATCTGATTAAATAGACCTAGGGTTCCAAAAAATTCCATTGAATTTTCATGATTATAACTTTTAAAACCTAAGATTTAGGGGAATATTGACGAACAATAAGCATTCTAAGTGATTATGTCCAATAGAAATTTAAAATGCTCAATCTTCTCTGCAAATCAAACTACTATTCCTAAAGCATAAAAATGTTTGTGGGCATAATGATGCATGTTCACAATGAACAACAGTGTGGTAAAGAGAACCCACAAACCACATAACTAATGATATCTTTAGTCTCTTCGGACTGCATGTGCTTACTATCGCATGCTTCAATTTTCCTTTCTCTTACAATAAGAAACAGATGAGAAGTTTTTTAGTTAATACAACAGCCCTCAAAAGTGTCATTAACTTAATACTCAAATTTCAGAAGAGCTCAAGAAAGCACCTTTTGCGGTTATCCTACCAACTTGATGCATAGAATTTGCAATGGCTGATTTGCCGACATTCGATTTAATCAAATAAAATATATAATCAAATAAACCCAAATTAAAACAATATCAAATATGAAGATTTACCTTGATAAATGGGAGAACTTGCAACAATCAAATTCTTAGTCCTCTAAATACTGCATGAAAACTAAAGAAATTTAAAAAAATATCAATTGCCATAAAAACTAATTGCAGTGCAAAACAAGTATCACTATTAAATCAAATGCACAACATTTCTAAAGAATAATTATGAAAATGAAAAAAAAGATACATGTTGAAGGAGATGAAGTTAATATGAAAATTATGTAATTTCTTGGTTTATATATAGGCATGAGATGTTACGTGTGATAGGATAATAGTCATAATTGAAGTTCTCTTTGTACAAACATTTAAAATATAAAAATTAGAATTTGATTAGGATTGTGTTTCATTATTTATTTTGAATTTAGAGATGTTTATCAAAGTATGCCTTCGGTTTTCAAGTGCACTTAGGACATCTTTAGATGATAAATATACATTATATCGTTTAAAAAAAAGTTGAAAGGATGTAAGGTTGTGCAAGCTGGTCAACTTAGCGATTCATGACATGGGTTGCCACTTTTGTCCCTTTCACACTTCTATTGGAGTTGTATGCCAATTGAGTTTATTCTTCTACTTTGCACTCCAATTGAGTTGAAATTATGTAATCCAGAGATGGTCATCGCTGGAAATTATTATTTAATTAAATATCAAGGTATGCCTTCGGTTTAAATATGGGCGTAACAACAGCCATATTAAATATTTAATTATTCTATTGCTGTATTTTTTAAATCCTAACTTGCATTTAATTGTTGGTAGCAACAGCTGTATAACCATCATAACAAATTCTTGCGGAACAAACTAAAAATTATTTTTGAATTTGATTATGATTAGGATAGTTATACAATTTAAAAGTTAGAATTTGATTAGGATTAGGATAGTTCAAACTTTGAACTTATTTGATTTGGATTAGAATAAATCATTAAATACAATTTAAAAATTAGAATTTGATTAGTGATAGGACAGTTCAAACTTTATAGGAGTATTTTTGTCTACCGAAAATTTTTTCAAAGCTCGTGTTTTTAAAAGAAGTATGATAAATGGTTCGATTTTAAATATGCATATGACTTAGCTTATTGAACCATCTAACTGAAGTTTATGGTTTACTCTTAAAACCCTTATGAAATCATAACCATATATTTTAGAAATGTTAATAATATACCCCTCTAATTAACTTGAAGGTTTTGGTATAATGGAAGAAATATTTTGGAAAAGATAATTTGCAAACATGTCAATTGACAGGCTTCAACATTAATTATACATCTAGAATTTTATTTTCTCATAATATGAGAACCAGCCAGTATAAAAAGATTTTATAACGATGCCAATAATTGCAAGGACAGGAGTTTGTGGATTAGTGGCAATCCAACAGGATACATTGTAAATATTATAACCCACTGACTTTAAAAAGGTGGATTACATAAATATACTTTTTTGATTTTCTATATCATCCTACTAATTTTGAAATTCAAAATCTTATGAGAGGAGAGAAATTTATTTTTTGTAAATTTTTGTTAATATCCATAAAATCAGAAATTTCCTTCCTTATATAAATTGTATTTATTTAAATTGTCGAAACTTGCTATATGATCAGTACAATGAGGAATGGAGGATAAGAGGTGGAAAAAGTATTAGGTATTTGCTGGTATTATGGTAAGATATTGAATATCTTCTTGATTGCGTTTGTTAGAGATTTCAAAATTTCAAAAACTAAGGAGAAGAGGGAAAGATAATTGAAGGTATGCTATGTTGTTATGGTAACATTTTTTATATACTTTTTCTATAAGAAACACCGATTATTCCAAGCAAAACAAATCAAAGGAAAAAGTTAAATCCTATCCTCTTCGTACTTTTCTTATTTGGTAGAGTTGCGGTCAAAATTTCTTTAATTAATTTTTTTAATATTTTCTAACACTCTTCTAATTATTGCTGCGTAGAGCAAATCGCCAATGATTATTAGTAGTCACTGTTGATTGTTTCTCTTTGGTAAGGATATTTTATTTTTGAATCCATCAGTCTGTTACAGTTCAATAACTTTGAGTAATAAATACCGGGCATTCACGGATTTGATTTATGGCTCATTTGTTTGCGAAGCAAAAATAAAAATAAAAAATAAAGAAGATGAAAGGTATTTGTTTTCTATTTCGGTTTAATCAAATAAAATATATAATCAAATAAATCTATATTAAAATAATATCAAACATGAAGATTTACCTTGATAGATGGGAGAACGTGCAACAATCAAATCCTTAACCCTCTAACTTCTGCATGAAAGATGAAGAAATATTAAAAAAATTAAATTGCCATAAAAAGTAATTGCATTGTAAAACAAATATCACCCTTAAATCAAATACATGTTGAAGGAGATGAAGTTACTATGAAAATTGTCTAATTTCTTTGTTTAGATATAGGCATGAGGTGTTGCATGTGATAGGATAATAGTCATAATAAGAGTTTTATTAGGATTTAAATTGGAGTGTTGGGATAATATTAGTTCAGATAATAGTGCTTCTGATAATCAAAATAACTCGGTTATTAGGATAGTAATATGTTTCAAAGCTACTTAATTTATTCTCGATTATGATACATGTAGCTTCTTCCAAAATTTAATATACGGTACTGCTAATGAGTGAGGCCCGCAAATTCTTATTTAAACTTTATTATTTTATCTACAAACAAACAAGATTTCTAAGATTTTGTTTTCAAAACCTAACAAACAAACAAAATTTCTAAAATTTTGTTTTAGAAACGTTGTTAACAAACAAACAGGATATCCCCTAATTAACTTCTTTCTTAACTTAACACAAATCCTCTGAATTGCGTATAATTAAATATAACCACCATAACAAACCCATAGAATAAATCCCCAATTATGTTGTTGGAGTCTACGGTAAATTAGAAATTGATTTCGGAGATTTGCAACAGAAGATATTATTAATCAAATAAGAAATATAACCACCATAACAAACACATAGAATAAATCATTAAATTAAATTTAAAAATTATAATTTGATTATAGATAAGATAGTTCAAACTTTATAAGGGTATTTTTGTCTACATAAGATTTTTCCGAACTCGTGCTTTTAAAGGGAGTATGATTTTCTTTCTTTTCCGGACATTTTCCACAAATTGCGGGCGAACCAAAAAGCCCCTTCGTAGAAACAAACGGCCCGTCGAGGCCCACCACGTGATGGTCAGACTTCTAGCGTCAGCGTTCTTTCTAAAACCCTCCCCCTTTCCGCAGAAGCCGAACTTGGAAATTTATCCCTCGTAGTCGCCGGCGGCGGCGCTCATCGCCAGCCCCCATAAAAACTTTAGAAACTTCTCCATATCGAAGTAAATAAAATTGATCTAGGGCTCGGAAAAGCTTAGCACCAGAGGCCTCTCATGGCGGCAGTGGACCCCACTCGGGCCTTCGTCCAGGGCGTCAAGCGTATCGTCATCAAAGTTGGTGTCGTTCCCCTCTCTCTCTCTCTCTCTCTCTCTCTCTCTCTCTGCTTGTGATCTGCTAAAACCCCGCTTTGCCGACTGATTTTAGTTGAAGTTAACTTGGCCGATTCAAAAATTGATGTTTTTAAGTAGTGAATCTCACGCTGTTTACTTTGGTCTGTAGCTGCTCATACTGTTTGAGACCCAAATTCATTAGGAAGTCTGTCTTTTGATTGAAGTTAGCTTCCTCGATTGGGATTGGGGTCAAGATTCGATCTTTGCAACCAGTGAAACCGTGCCATTAACTATGGTTGCAGAAATGCACTGAATTTAGGTGTTTCCGTTTGTTTATTTTCACAGGTAGGGACTGCTGTTGTAACTAGAATTGATGGAAGGTTGGCGCTTGGGAGGTTAGGGTCTCTCTGCGAGCAGGTAAGGCTGAACTTTCAGTAGCAGCAATTCATTCTTTAATGCTAAGTTGTTCGCAAGTTCTTCTCAGAAGTTTCGAAGTCTGTGTTGTAAAGATGGAATGATTAATGTGCAGGTCAAAGAACTGAATTCTCGAGGATTGGATGTGATTTTGGTAACATCTGGTGCGGTGGGTGTTGGTCGACAGAGGCTTAGATATAGGAGATTAGTCAACAGCAGGTTAAGAACCTGTCCTTTCAATTTCTTGGCCCTGATCGTTCATCCACTCTAATATAGTCCTTCAAAATTAAAATGCGGTTGAGTTGAGGGTTCATATAATATATATTTTATTCGTTACCAATTTTACCTCAACTTTTATTGTTGTCTTGCAAGCCTGCTCGGCATTTGAGATTTTCACGTAAGCATTTCTCACATCGTCGATTGTCAACAATTTATGAAATTTCCCTTAATCTCTTTGAAGCACATTGATCTCTTGAGCAAATAGCTTTTCTTTTAAAGCCAATCTACAATGAGGATGGAACTGTGCAGAAAAGAGACTGTGATTCCACTTTAAGGAGATATACATTGGTTACCTTAATAGGACCCAATAGTTTCTAAACTTTATTGCTTGTCCATGGATTAACTAGTTCATATTGCAGCTTTGCTGATCTTCAAAAACCTCAAATAGAGCTAGATGGAAAGGCATGTGCTTCTGTTGGTCAGAGTGGTCTCATGGCACTGTATGATGCATTATTTGGTCAGGTGTCTTCTGGATTTTCACCCCGTTCCGACAAACATTTACTTTTTTTTTAAACTTCAAATAACGTTCTTCTAAATTTTCATGGAGTGGTGCTATTGATGACGCAGTTGGATGTCACGCCATCTCAACTTCTTGTGACTGATAGCGACTTCAAGGATCCAGATTTCAGGAAGCAGCTAACTGAAACCGTGAATACATTGTTAGGGCTTAAGGTTATTCCTGTTTTCAATGAAAATGATGCCATCAGTACGAGGCAAGCTCCATACGAGGTACTTCCATGAACCTTAAAAAACAGTATGTACAATTCTAGTTGGTTTCGTCTTATACATGCAGTCTAGATGTGAACACTTTCATTTTGCAGCTTGTGTTCCGTGCACCTAATTTTGTGAAAGTAGATATGCTTCCTCATAAGTTTGTTTTGAGCAAATTGTTTACTATCTACCTATATTACCAAGTAGAGTCTCAATAAATTTATTTTGTTGAATGGTCTACTTCTCAGAAATATTTGTCAAAATAAACATAAACCCTGCTATGCACAGAATTTGTCTAAAGTGTGATTTATATTTCAGTTAATCAGTTTGTTAGATAGACAAAATTCTTTTGTAAATTTAGTTTTTTGACTAATATCAATGGCCTAACAAATGTCCATATACAAGTTAACAATCGTGGCCCAATTTGGAATTTTTTTTTTGAATAAATGTCCAACACGAGGTAAAGCTCCAGTATGGATAGGAATAAGGATTTGGTTTGGTTGATGGTTCCTTTTTGTAGGTTTTTGCACAATTCACATGAAGATTAACAACCAATTAATATTTATTCAGGTTCAAAGGGATCCTAATGATAAAGGATTGCTCACAAAGCTGATAAGATTTAAACTATTTCCGATTTTTGAATATACATTTATTTCAGACTTCTGAAATTAGATTATGTTAATAGATAATATTGACTTCTTTTTTGAATATACATTTATTTCAGACTTCTGAAATTAGATTATGTTAATAGATAATATTGACTTCTGAAAGTAGATTAAACCAAACGTGCAATGAAGTCTCTTATTCCTATTTGGCATAATGTTTAAGGTATATGGTGACCGTGCTTCGATATCAATGGAGAATCATATGTGTGTTTGTGTGTGCGTGTGCGTGCGTGTGTATATATATAAACTATTTGCAATTTTTGAATATACATTGATTTCAGACTTCTGAAAACAAACTATGTTAATAGATAATATTGACTTCTGAAAATAGATTAAACCAAACATGCAATGAATCTCTTATTCCTATTTGGCATAATGTTTAAGGTGTGTGTGTATGAGCTTTATGCGAAATTTCTTGGAAAGCCTATTATGAGTCTTTCTATTTTTATGCGAAATTTCTTGGAAAGCCTATCATGAAAGCCTATCATGAGTCTTTCTATTTTTATTCACTGCTGAAGATCATCTTCTTAGTTGAATTTTAACAATTACTATATTTTCTGTAACGGCCTTCTTTCAAGTTCTCGTAAGCCATCTGTGGTCTTCAATTGCTGCATTGACAGCAATCCCATTACTTATTACTTCTCGTTACTGGTGCTTATTTGCCTGTGTTGCACATATCCGAACAATCTCAAACAATTCTCCCTCATTTGATTTCAGTAAGAGCAATCTCTCACTACTAAGTAATTTCACTCATTCATGCTAGCATTCTCATGTTGCTTTTTAACTGCCTAATAATCCGATCTAGCTTGTCTTCTAAACTTTTTCTTCAAAATGGGTATTTTACGATTACATAAGACTCTACAAGCACTTCCCCACTTTAGTCATCCCATTTTAAGATGGTTTGGAGCATATAGCATATTCAAACCAGTGTTTCAGGATATTTTTGACACTGCATGTGCATAAATGCACCCAATGAAGCGCTGGTCTTTTTTAATCAAACCATCCTGTGCTTGACACATTTCTGTTATCAGGCATGACGCTGCTTCCCTGCCTCTGTTGTTTTATGTACAATACTTTTGGACTAGTTTTTATGCTTGCAATGTGCTTATTGTACTAAGTGAATAATTAGAGAAAAGTTGGAAGACTTCATATCACTTTTAGATTGAAAAAGTGTAGAAGAAGGAAGAATTCATAGGAAAGGGAAAGAATGATTAATAGTAGAATGATGAAAAGTCACATACCATTATCTGCCAAGTGTTACGATCTTGCAACCAGTGGGAGATACTTTACTAGTATAGTATAGATATACCTTATTTCAGTTGCTGCATTGTGTTGAGTCATGTCCTTTTTGACATGTCATTTTTTGCACTTGATGTAAAATCATAACAAGCTGTAACTACCTTGTTCTAATCTCAGCTCAGGTATCCTTTCTTTTTTGTACCTATCTTGCATAGATGATGATCTGAATTGTATCTCAAAACTTCAAATTTGCTAAACTTGCCTATACTTGTGAGAGAAGTGTTAGACATGTGGGAATAATTTAGACCATTTTCCTTGCTGTCTGTTTAAAGAATTGCTATCTACTTTAAGGTGCCCATACAACTTGTGAGGAATACATTTTGAAGTCTGTGGCTTCACGTGACTGAATTATTTGCAGGATTCTTCTGGTATATTCTGGGATAATGATAGTTTAGCAGCTCTCTTGGCTTTGGAATTGAAAGCAGATCTCCTTGTTTTGCTTAGTGATGTGGAGGGCCTATATAGTGGTCCTCCAGGTGAACCTTATTCTAAGATTATTCATACTTACATAAAGGAAAGACATCAGGGTGAAATAACCTTTGGGGACAAGTCCAGGGTAGGAAGAGGGGGAATGACTGCCAAAGTTAAGTCTGCAGTCTATGCTGCCTCTGCTGGCACTCCTGTCATAATCACCAGGTACAATATAAAGTTTGTAGTCAGCTATATCATGCATGTTTGTTGCTATATCATGCATGTTTGTTGCCAATCACCATATGCAAGGATTGATGATTGAATGAGTTAATAGATTCTTTATATTTACAGTAATATTTAAGAAACTAAATAAATCCTTATATCATGCTTATGAAGGTTTTGCTCTTATAGTGTTGAGATTTTATTTTGTGCATTAGAAATGTGATCTAGGAGGATGTATGAGAAGTTTGGGGCCATAATTTTCAAGCAAGCAAAATACTGGAGGGCGGAAATAGAAAATCTCTGTCTACTAGTCTCTTTCCATGTGAGCTAGCAGACAGTATAGTCTCTCAAATTGTCATGAATCCCTTTTATCTAGTAAACTGACTAGCACTGTGTACGGATATTCAGCAAAATATAATTTTCTTTTATATTTGGGATCTTAACAATGAACTTGTATGATAGTGGGAATGGAATGTTTGACATGACATTTTTTTTCATATGTAACGTTTTAGAATGTCATAGTGATGCCTGTTTGAGGTATTATTTATAAGGTGATATGGATTATGGTACTTACCAGCGATTTAATGTTATAGTGATATTAGGTTTACAATTGCTACTATTACTGATAACAAACACTGCATCAATCCTTCTGTTGGTAGAGAAAGTGATACATGCTTTATTGTCTTTCCACCCATTAAAAAAAACCATGCCTCAAGTTATCTTGTTTATAAACTACACAGTTATATTGATACACAGGCTTAAACTTATTTCTCTGATAATGCGTAAGCAATCTTCCTGAGAATTTGAGGCAGCATTAAATTAGCTTAAGACATGGTAGGTTATGTGCGTGCATGTAGGGTGCTCGTGGCAAGGCAAATCAACCTAAGTGGTAATGAAAAGCTAATAAAATTTTACAGTCTGATTTGTCTTCTTGTGAACTATCAACTATGTTTGCATCTTCATAATTATATTTAAGGAACATGGACATGGACAACTAGAAAAGATATGTTGGTTACTTTAATTGGTAAGATATCCCTTAGTAGAGCTGAATGGAAGAAAATGGTCCATGTAGAATGCACAAAACTTTTTAGATTAAATATTTTGTTGTTGTTGTTCTTCTTTTTGTTGTTATTTTCCTTAACTATATATGCAGATCCATGTGTACACAAAAGTTATTTCTGTATTTAACTAAATGGAACCATGGAAGACGCGGTATACAACTCCCGCCCCCCCCGTCCGCCCAACATAAGAAATAAGTGGCCTACGCGGCGCCATACTTGTGGCTTGTAGGGTGGCCTTTTTTGGCAAGCTAATTAAAAA